TTCAGAGAAAACAAGTTTAGAGATTTTAGTCTCTCCTCATAGGACAATCCCAACATCCCAGGTATTATCACTCTTCTCTGAACCTTCTCCAACAATTCAATGTCCTTCTTGAGGAAAGGAGCTCAAAACTGTACACAGTACTATAAATGAGACTTTACAAGTGATCTATATAGTGAAACAATAACATCCCCTGTCTTGTATTCAATATTTTTATAGATTCTACCCAATGATCACTGTGTTAATAGAGACCAGCAGTGGTTAAATAGATATTGAATTAGATTATGTGACATGGGTTGTAATATTTATGTACATTATGTAATCAAACTAATTACACAAAAGTTATTTTCGTTTATGCAACAGTCTGTCATATTGTAGCTCATTAATGTTTTTAAAAACTCAATTGAAATCAGGTAGACTTACCTGTGAAATACTGAAAGCCTTTTCTTGTTCAATTTGAATTCATGTTGTCAACAAAATGTCACTAAAACTTTTTGAATGTCCTCTAAACATTGCAAAGCTTGCATCACTTACCATAATTCTCCACTGTCCCACCTTTCACATGGCTTGTTGTACAAGTCTTAAGGAATCTTTCATAAGCACTGCTTTTCTGCCATAATTTGAATTTTCTTGTTGACAGTCGTGTTGTTAACTTTGCTACAGCATTCTTTCTGATAGAACTATTTCTGCCGCTATCAGAATTTCTATGACTTAGTTGGAAACCTTACATATGCAATTTGTCTATATAATTACTTGTGCAAAAAACAACAACTTGCTTTGCTTTCATCTTTGCAGATATTTCACTTTAACTTGTTTCCTGTTCAGGGGAAGCTTGCAGAAGAAATTGATTTGGGTTTTAGCGTCTCATTTTGCTTCTGGTTGTCATTCCATTCAAGAGTCCTGTGTATAATGTTCTTCAATGCTCACTACATCCACTCATACTTTTAGTGTGGGCTTTTATTGACTCTCAGTTCTGGATGACTCCTCTGTCTATACTTTTGGGGATCATCTCAGTTGTTGTTTTTTCATGTATGAGCCTTTCAGTTTGTTTTCCTTGGGTTCATCAGATTCTTCATTTTGATTTTCTATTCATCTTTCCCATTTCTATTTTATTTCAGATCTGGCAGTTTTGAACCTTTTACAGAACAAGGAGATATCAATATTGTACTTTGTTTCCTTAGGGGATTTTACTCTCACCATTTTATGGTTCCAGCAGGAGATTGAAGACCTGTTTTTTAAATTTTTCCCATATCATCTCCTATCTAGATATTCCTCCGTTTCAAATGGAACCTATGGTAATCTTATGAAAGCTCATTCATCAAGTCAAAGTTTAGATGATGAATGGGAATTTCTGAGATGCTTATTTATGTCTTGATTCACTGTCTTTATTTTTCACATGATGGAATGAGTTTATGGCCCTCCCTTTTTGGTCTGACTTCAGCATTCGTATGTCTTCACAATACTGATTGTCATCACTACATAGATAATTAGAGGATTCTCGCTCAGTGATTGCCTCACACTGAATAGACCTGCAAGTTAGCTTCTTCTCTAGTAAGGATTGTTCATGAGTCCATGTCTTAGCTTGTGTCTACTCAATACCTTGTTCATCTGAGATTTTGTATTAATATCCTCCCAGGAACTCTTCACCTGTCTCTTTTGGCTTTGCAATCCCTTGAGTTTCAGATGTGCATACTTCTCCATCTACCAAATATCCTCTCTGATTTGGAAATCACAGCTTTTATTTATGTGGCAATCTCGTATGGATCATGCTTACTTAAGAAACTATCAGTGGTATCTTGTCCTTTCTTGGAATCTGTTCTCAGACCTGTTGTTTGTTAGCTACACATGTGGCTCATTTGTGAGCCACAAATTGTAAGTTCCCCTTTTATTCTACCTTCATCAAATCTGGATCTTTTCACCAGGATGGGAATCATTTATGTTTTTATTCTTGTATCTTTCTTTCTTTGTTTAAAAGTTCCCATTTCACTTTCGTCTTTCTTTGATTCTCCTTGAACAGTAAACACCCCCCTAACGTGGCTTGTTGTATCACCCACTGGACATTTTCTACATGGACAAACAAGGCCTACTATGTCTTTTGACATTAATGGTACATGTCTGGTCTGCTCCACTACAGGAACAGGACATAGTATTCCTCCTACATGTTTATGCTATCTCTGTGTCCCATTGTTGTATTGTATCCCTAGGTTCAATACGCCATTACTGCTCACAGAAGTCAATGTATTATCTAATTAAAGGGTGTCATAGGTGTAAAGGTAACTTGCTGAGAAGAATGCCTTCTTTCTGAGTGTCCTTTAGGACTAGGCTTTTTAAAAGGTGGTTCTGCTTCACTCATTCTCCCTCAAATTCAGTTTTGTGTAATATTTTCTGGTCTGGATTCTACTCGAACTCTGCTTGACTACATATTCCTTGTATTCAAAATTATTATTATATTCCTACCCTGTAGCTCGTAATTTTATGTTTTTGATTATTTTTTTTAAGTTCATTGGTTCCCACCTCCTTTACAATATTGGTATTCTAGCTTTCAGTATTTCAGACAAGTACTTACCTCTGAAATACCATCCCTCCCACTTCCCCACAATCAAATTTTCATGTAAGGAAGTATGTGTAAGATCTCCTGATGTTTGCGCAATAAGTCACTTGGGAAAGTGGAGAATTATGAGTAAATGACACAAGGAAAAGCTTTCAGTACTTCATGAGTAAGTACCCCTTCCAAATTAATTTTAATTCTAAAAATGTTAAATTAGTTTCTTTTTAAAAGTCTTCTGACCTTGTTTAATTTTTGATTTTTTACCCTAAGTTATATAAATAGAAATATTTACATTTAGTGCAAATTATTGAACAGCTAGACAGTAGCAGTAATACTAACATTGGGTGCCAGTAGTTAAAAAGACTAAATGAAGTCAGTAGTCAATAATTACAAAAGTTTTTATTAGCAGTCATATTTAGGAAAATTATTAATTTTAATTAGTGGCTAGGTGTCATAAAAATACTAACTTCCTTCAGCAGCCAGGTATCAGAAGGAGCATAATTTAGATTAATAACACAGAATCAGATATTTACATTAGTAACAAACAGATCCTAACCTGCAATGAGAATATAGTAATCAGAATAAACTAACTAATTGGGAATTCAGTCAGTGGCATTTTCGCACAGATCACCAATTCGAGGAAATTTACATGATATTTAAGAATTGAGGCAGAGACTTTATGTTTTAGCATAACATAAAGCACTTATTCAAATTTATTCTATTTACAATTTATAAACGTTCTTCTTTTTCATAATTACCTTTACTCTTCAAAGCGTGAAATATTTCTTCAAACTTTAGCTTATTAACAATTTTCCAAAAAAAAACAACTTTCACCGGAACTGTGAATTATTTCTTATCTGTATTGTTACGCTTCTGTGTTCGTTTGTTAATTTTCCGCTAAAAATTCTTTCCGAAGAAACTTTAACGATACAAGTCATTTCTTAAATAAAACTATTTTATACTTTTTAAATACAACTTTGCAATACACTTAATTTCCACAGTCGCGCTATAGCAAACGCTATAATTCACAACGAACATCTCACGTGCTCGACTCAACTGTCAATTAAGCATTACATTGTTGCCGTCGCTTCTTGGCCGGTCTTATATATAAAAGAATACCGAAATCTAGTAAACACTAGAGCATTCAGAATCCTTCTAGAAGTT